TAAAGCAGCAACATCATTTTTAGACGCTACACAAACATGAATGCGGATGTATGGCCAAATTTGGGGGTTGAGGTGTTAAAGTCTAGAGACGTGGTTTAACTTTAGAAACTCAGAGGTGGCAAGCATTTCGATTCCTGAAATCAGTACCTCAAAGATGCTTGTTTTCTTGTAGTCGTAGCTGTGCTGGATGCAGAAAACCAGTTATAAGCTTTGCCTAGATGATGATCAACACTTCTATGCCACAGCCTAATCTGTGTTCTTCATACTCAAATCACTAAGTGTCCCCAGTAAATGGCAATTCCTTTAGAATCAATTCTAAGCAATGTCTCACAGCCCCCCCCCAAAGCAAATGTTGTATTTCAGTTTTATAACAAATATTAAATTTTCTCCATTAACCTTATGGCTACCAAAAAAATGCAGCTAGTGATACGAGAGGCCTAATGAGATTATAATCATTAGATTGCCTGCTGTATTACAGTCGTTCCTAATCGCGTGACATGTTGCAATTGAACTATGGCACACCTCTCTCATGTAGTGCAGAGATAAAACAAACTCTCGTCAGGAGAGTCTGAAACCCAGCAGCACAAGATTCACAAATCTTCTATTCCAAAAATAAGCTCAAGCAACTAAGAGGCTGCATGTCCAAGCAGAAAACTGCATTGGAGTGTTGGTAACGCAGACCTGTAGCATGAGAACACCTCAGCACCTGTAGGAACAGTCACATGAGAAAACCAGCACAAACGCCGTCCTGTTTGGATTCTACGTGCATTCGTGCCTTCTGCATATATTGCATCCTGGAATGCAAACATACAGTCACAGTAGTCGGATGAGGGCACAAAAACTGGCAAACATCCAGTAAACTGAAGAGAAAAAGAAGCTCCTGGAAACTCTCTGCCTGGACTGCAGCCACCCTCCTTCTAGTTTTCAGTCCAGGCGATGCCCTTTTCAAAGGCTGGCTGTGTCGTCTTTCAGACATTCACAAGGCAGTGCTACAGAGCAACACAAGGCACATTCCCAGAAAGGATCTTCTGTTTCACCTGCTTAGGTGAATCTGCTGGTCACAACCGCAGCTTTCCTGCAGGATTCTGCCACATGACAACCTTGTATGCTTGCCTATATTCTGTGTTTGCAGCCAGAAGCTGAAGATCATGATTGCAACGGATAAAACAACCGGCATTGGAAACTTCAAACCTTGCAAAACCGAAAAATCGCAAGGTATTTTGCAAACCAGAGTATTGCTACATTTATCAAATGTCTCTCCCCTAAAAATTTTTGCTGTTTTAGTTGAAAATACTTTCCACATGTCTTTCTCCTCAGATGCACATTCACTACTGTTTTAAACATTCTTTTCAAGGGTGGAAAACTCCCCCCAAAACCCTTACAATAGCTGTAACCTTAAAATTCGACACTGTAAAAACTGACAGTATCTGACTATTCTTCTACAGCATGACAGAGTTCAAAGAGTTGAGCACAGACGGCAGTTTTTGTTTAGTTTGCATTATGAGGACAAGAAGAAGAAAATCACCTCTGCACAGCTACAAAAAAAATGCAAATAGCAAAAAAACTTGTCTATTTGCACTACCAGAAAATAGGCCAAAACCTGAATAAATATGAAAACTCAGCTCTCCTTGTTTCCAGATACAGTCCTTCTAGTTCAAATCAAAGGTAAGTCAGATGCAGACGAAGATTTGCTTCCCACCTCTTTTCTATGGGCAACTGAGAATTTTAATCTTCAACTAATGAATCCCACTACTACTAAAAGATTATACAAAGTGATAACAGAAAAGCAAGAAGAATTAATGAAGCATAAACCCCAACTATTTTGAATCCTCTGTCACTGCTTATAAATGCTTTATTTCTTACTGAAATACACTAATCTTTCAGCAAAGCATAGCCCTTCTGTAGGTGGCTGGTAGGGTTATTCAAGCAAGATTAAGTGTACTTGGTAAAAAATGTTGAAACATTTGCCTTTCCTCTCTACCATATAAACAAAATTCCACACAGGAACAAAGCAAGCAATTCCCAGCTCTGTTCCGAACAAGCAAAGCAAGGGTAGTGTGACTCTCAATCTCACTTTCGTGTGACACAAACGCGTCCTCTCCCTCTCCTCAGGTTTACAGCGTCCAAAACCCTTCTGTTGATGGAAGCCTGAAACACAATTTCTCATTTAGGGCACCAAGCTGAATCTAAACACCATGTAAGACTTATACTGCAGTCAGGAGAACCAAAGGTGCCAAACTGAATTTGCACACTAGACAGCTTTTAATGTAAAACAAAATCTTTTACTTCTCCCACACTTGGTTCATGGATTTTTGCACGTCTGCTTGGCTACAGGATCCAGGAACTGATCTGTATTAAAGGCTAATCTAAATGAACATGAAGGGTAGCACAGTAAGACTCAATCTGCACAGAGAAAGAGCTGTTGCTGAGGAACTGACATTCATACTCTACGTGAAGGTGAAATGGGAGGTGTGGTTCCAGACGAGTTGTAGTCTAGTCCCATGGACTGAATGCATATTAGCCATAGGCAGAATATTTTTTAGTTTACTTTCATCCCAATTTAATTCAACTCTCAAATTTCATTTCATGGTGCAAAGCGAGGTACAGTAGGCAGGTGCAATCAGGGGCTTCACTTCCTGACACAAGCTATAATGCTAATGTAGATACAACCACAACTACCACAATTCTTTCAAGAGTGTTAAGGCTCTCCAGATGGAAAATAAAGGCTAGAAGCCAAGCAGCATTTCATACGGAGAGAGCACTCCAGCTCATTTCATTCAGCTCCAAACCATTCTCTGGATTACCACTTCTCTGTTTTTGTTAAATCATCACAAAGGGCTGTGTGGGGCTTGGTCCCTGACAAACGAACTCAAGAGGGAGACATGGGGTCCAGTATAGTCATGTTTAGCAGTAGGTGACAGAGAAACAATATTACATACCTAAATGTTTTCACAGATGGGGAGGTACAGGGCAGAGAGATGAAAGACTATAGGATACCTGCACATTCCCAGTAGTAAGTAAAAACGTCTGTTCTGAACTGCTGCAAGTAGAAGCTAAGCGGTCATGGCTCTGAGACACCTTCAGGAGCAACATGGCCTCTAGTCATCCTCTGTACTTGTCAGGTTAAATATTGGACTTTTGCTTTAAATATCACAATTTATCTCACATCTGATCTTCTCATTAAAAATGGCCCAGGCAAAGAATGTTTTAAACACTTCCCTGTGTGGTTATTTCCAGTTGGCAGGTATGGATAAATGATACCATGACTTGCAGGGAACCAATTTCAAATTATGTTTAGAACAGATCTGCTAAATTGTTTTTTCTTCTTTGCAGAAAGGACCTTTTCATGTGTTGCCAATATTTTCATAATGACATTTCACTGAGCATTCTTCTTTGGTCTGTCATGAAACTCACACATAAGAGACACAAACGAAGCAACAAAGCGCACAAGTCTGCAAAGACTAGTTATTTAGGCTATATTTTAAGCAAATTTAAGACTCATTACTCTGAATGCCTTGCTTGCATTACTTGCCAAGGCCTCATTTTCCAAGGGCCCGTAAAGCAGACCCCTCGCAGGAATCACAAGTTTGGCCAGCCACACTTTGAAGAAAGCCAGTACTGAGCGTAAGTTAATACAGTATTTGCATACATATCCACGTGAAGCAGGAGACCACAAAGAAGTCAGGAACATTTTCTTCTGGGAAGCACTAGTAAAAGGGCACAGTCAGTGGGACGCTAGTCTTTCATTCAAAAGCAAGCAAGCGTATTCCATAGAAATATGTACATGAGTTGCCCCAGTAAAAATAAGACGACAGGAATGATGTACTATACCCAGACAGGACAATCTTTCTGTTTTGATTTGGTAATAGAATTTTAAGTAGGGGTCCCAGAAACTTCTTCAGCATGTCACTACCTTCCAGAGAGCCACTTCAGCTGACAGACTGCTCCTGACAGGTTCTCTTCATTCAGAGAGCTGACAGCCTAACCTTAATGCCTTTAGCAAAATCTAAGTCACATCACTGTCTCATATTACACTGTGCATCCCAGAAATAGAAGGAATGAGAAACTTCTCATTACTACACTTTCTTCAAATAAGGTTTGCGAAATGGGGAAGGGGGAAAGTTTTTGAAAGAAGAAAACATATACCTGATCCACTGCCTTTTACTAAAGCTGTTAAGTGAAACTGAGGCAACCTCAAAAATAAAACACTTGCTTTTTGGTCTTGTTTCAAGTTGTTACTTCTAAGTCATCTAGTTCAGAGGTACCAAAGAATGACAAAACTATTTGTCAGATATCATTTTGCATTTTGGGGAGAAGGAAGGAAACAAAACAAAAAAATACCTTCTCCGACACTAACCTGACAGTGAATTTATTAAAGCTTGGCATTAGGGTACGTCCTACGTGTCCACCTAGCCAAGTAAAAGTTATCTGGCTCTGCAGACTTTGCCTTCCCCTGCAGGAGGGAGACTGGCTGATGCCCACAGGACTCTTTCTAGCCACGTTTTCCAGCTACAAACATAAAACATGGCCCCTTATTAGTTAACATCTTGTACACACTGCCTGTTTTCGCTTGGTTTATGGAATATGTACATACAAAGTTAGAACTGCCTCAGAGGTTTGGGGAGCTGACAAACAAGAACAGAAACTGCAGAGGCAGGAAGCCTGTTAAAAAAGTGATTACCAGCATGTGTGAAGTATGTAAGGCACTTCTAACAGTGGGTTCTCCAGAAGACTCTTCTCCACTGTGATCAAATACAAACATTGTTTTGGAGTACGGTTACGCTTGGAGCTTTTACTGTCTTCCTCAGTATCAGAGGTGACCCCATACCTAAAGTACCAACACTTCAGAAGAACCAAGTTGGGTGGGACAGGGTGGGGCTCAGATATGATGTTTTTCATCCAGAAACAGAGAATCTGATCTCTCAAATCATATGTGAAACCATTCTCCACCCAAAAACATGTATAAAAACACCAAGACAAAGAGTTTAAGTGATACTTACGCGGCATGATCCCTTGGCTCACCAGCTCCTCCCGTGTGCGTCGCTGCTGGAGCTTCAATTGCAGCACTGCACGACAGCAGAGAGAGGGAAGAGAAGGAAACCCATCAGTGCGAGAAACAACTGAAGAGACATTTTCAAACGCATCTTGTTTTCTTCTTTGGATGCCAAGGCACTAGCGAGCAGCAGAACAAATAGAGCCCCCCTCCCACCCTGCTCCCCGGCAATTGCAGAAGTGGCCTTCAGCAGTCAGGTTTCCGTATTCTGCTGCGGCAGTGGGGAGAGGAAGTTGCGCAGGGTCTTGGCAGGGTGATAAAAATCCGCAAAGCCAGGCCTGTTTCTCAATTCTTTCTAGAGCACCAACTTCTTTCCAAACCATTAATATTAAAAAACAAACAAAGAAAAACACCGGCTGACAGTCCTCCAGCAAACACAGAGTGACACCCCAGTTGCTAATGACTCCTGAAAACTCTAATTACCATGTGCAGATTAAATTGATGTGACAAAATTATTGGTCATTACTCTAAATTAAAACGCTGATTTCCTTCCTCAGCTCAGAAATTCACCTTCAGAAACATCTCATCAAAGTGAAATATCATGGACACATCTAGAAGTGTCCTTGTTCCACAGCAAAAGGATCCCTTATCACTAGAATTTTTCCTATTTATTTTAGAGTGATAGAACATATGCATTACCTGTGCAAAATGCAACTGGATTTTTTTTCTAATGCAAATCTCTGGAATACTCATAATTTCAACATTTACATGCAGTTTCCCTTTAAATTACCCAATCAAACCAATATTATAGAGATTGTTCTTACAAGCAAAGACAGCTTCCATCTGAAAGGGACCTTACAAAACCAAAGAAAAAAATCACGTGTGCGTGTGCACACACACACGTGTGCATGCACACACACAGGCGTGCACACACATCAATTTAGGACAGCCTGAGTGAACATCAATAGATACTGAATCCTGTCTGCAGTCAAGACCAAGCTCCTAAGTATACTCATCATAAAATATTATAGAATGAATGGTATGGCATTTTCCCTGTTTTAATTTCAATTTCTTTGTCAAGTTTATGTCCATTGTATAGTCCACAGAGGAGAAGTCCACGCAAATATAGCAGAACCACCAGACACTAAAACTACTCTACAGGTCAACTATATAATATCATTATAACCATTATGCTTCCTTTCTCAAGGACTTATCTTGTCCAATACATTCATTTCATATAGTATATCCAAATTTACACTCTACACTCTCTAAAGTAGGGATCAAAAAATTTAAGGAGAAGATGCCACTTCATCTACTTATGCACATCATCACATTTTACCTGTTTCTTTCAACCTCCTATTTGCAGTTCGCATTTGACTAAGACACATTTTCCAATAAGAGTTCTGGCCTTCATTTGATGTTAGGAAGATATGCATCTCTTCCTTGGCTGTTTGCACAGCAGCTCATCACCTTCAATTCAATGCACACTTAAATTTTTGCCTGTACTCGTCTAGCTTCCACTTCCCTTGGCTCTTCATGTACCTTTCTTTGAAGGGTTTATGACAGTGAGGACATATTTCCTACCTGTGGAGGTACTTCTGTCCACAGTGTGCAACCAAGTTACCTCTCTTCTGTTCCTTAAGCCAAACTGGGGTTTGTTAAAATATGCACCCTGGGCAGGAAACTACTTCCTTTAGTACGGGGAAGGGAGAGAGGGAGGGAGGGTGTACAGAGCACCATGCTAATTCTGTATGGGATCAGCCAAGGGCCAGAGTGAGGAGGTGGGAATGCAGAGGGGAAGGAACAGGCCCTTCGTTTGGCCGTGAAACTGCAAACAGAAGTGGTAGTCCCAGCTTCTTCCTCCCACCCAGCATGGGATCGCACTCCTACTTGTGTGCTAGCGTGAGGGCTAACACAGTCTCGTGGCCGGCCTGTTCACAGAGCTCTTCATCTGTTGGACTCATTTTGAGGGGATCGAAACCCGAATCAGGTGATGACACATCTACACGAGCACTTGATCTAACAGCTTGCTGCAATGGAGTCAAATCTCTCACTCCCCACTTCATCTCTCATGTTCCCCTGACTGGTAGCTGGACTCACCAACATGACAGAGACCACAGCCCCAACTAAAAAGGGGAATAGTTTTCTGTCTCATTAGTGAGTTGAAGACGATGAATGTATAGCCAGGTATTTCCTAACACTAACGTAAGGTGGGAATGAGACTTCATCCTTCCAGCAGCAGCAGTATGCCACTAAGTAATTTCAACCCTATCAGTTAACAGCACATTAAATCTCTAGTATGTGGCATTATTTCCACTAGTGAGCCATTTCAGAGACTCATTTCCATACCCTAAATTAGCACATCTCACTAAACATATACAGGGAAGGCACAGACCTACAGCATCAGGTCTATCTCCACAGCTTTAAGTGCAGATAATGTCATGATTACTCATGTCTTCCCACTTATACAGCTAGCCATGTATATTAGCCCTTTTTGCCACTTTGCTCTTTGCTTGCTAGGACCATCTACTTTCCCTCCCATTTCCAACAATACCTACTATTTACCTTTCACCTCCCAGAGTCAGGGATTTTCAGCAAAAAACTCCCCCACACAGGTGTGGCTGGCATTTTTTGCTCCTTGGTGCATAACTCTGCCCTCACCTGTATTTATGCACGTTTTGCCCAACTGTCTCATTTTGCCTAAATGATCTAAACCATTTTTTTTTCATGTCATTATGTATGCCTCCACTAATCTTTGCTCTGTCCACACTGTTACCATCTTGCATGTTTCCACACCACACCGGGCTGATCCCAATTAGAAACACTTTTCTGCTTTCTTTTGATTACAGTCAGTTCTTAATCCATTTAAGCAATACTTCATTCAATTCAAAGACATTTTTTAAAACCAAAATATACCACACTACTAAGTTAAAGACCTTATAAAAGTCTATGACACCCAGACAAAATGCCTAGCAACCAAATTTCACGTATCCAGACAACAAAATCACATTTGAACAGATCTGTTTTCACAAATTAAAAAGTGAATAGTGTTACTATACTGCTATTCTTATACCATCTAAATTCTTTATCAATTTTTCCATAGTTTTTTCCTGGAATGATACCAGATTAGCCACTCTTTACTCACTCACCCTTTTTCAGTAGTGGATACAAAATGTAACCGGTCTGTCACTCTTCTAAAGTCTCCCTGCTGTTCCCAGATTTATTAGAAATCAGCCTCAGCCAGACAGCTAGGGACTTCATCAAATGACTTAAAATTCCCTTCCTGACTTCAGCTTCCCTTATGAATTTTCTAAATATAACTTATTTCTATATCCGTTACCATCTACTACCCTTTTTCTCTACCCATTATATATGCACCTTTTCTTTTTAAACACTATGTCCCTTCACAGCAAGAAACTAGCAACTGTCAAGAGGTCTAAACTGGAGGATAGGAAAAAAGTCATTTTCAGGATACTTTTAATAGGCACTAAGTAATTCCTGGGATTTGTGAATGCATATACATACATATTAAGCACAAGTTATAATCAGCACATAATTCACTTTTTTTCCAATACAGCTTATTTTGGTGGCAGGGAGGAAGGCAAAAAGGATTACTTCAGTTCACTCCTGAATTCATTTTGGCTTAAACAAGTACTTGGAGTTCCCAACACCATTTCATATATTTAGGAGATCACCTGTTTACGTGTGCAAGTGTGTGAATCCTATATATAGATTAACAGATGTCCCAAGAGCCAATCCAAGGCTGCTGTACATGGAGCTCAGCCAAAGGTTTAGAATGACCAGAGAAATTCAAAGTTACTTAAAGACAGACTGGAGTGTAAGTCTTTCAATCAAAACCAACAATCTTCTGTTTCCTTTATCCTTGTACTTAATCTTTAAACTAATTTTCAAATTAGGAATAAATCAGGTCATACAAAGGAGAGTATACATGTGCTGGCTAGAAAATAAGTTCCATACTGGTACCCTTCTACCCACCTCTTTCATTCAACCTGTGTCACAGTCTATGCAACGTTTTGTGGCCTTTGTATGCTTGTCTGATTTTCCGACTTGAAATTAAGCATTATTTATTTATTTATTTCACAAGTATGAAAAATTCCAAAATAAAGTTTTTATATCTCTAATGAACTATTTCAAGAATCAGTACAACGTTCCAGAGAAATCTGGCAGCTGGTACAGAAGACTGCCGCCAGCAGTTCAGAGGAGGGGTAGAGAAGAATCGAGGCGGTGGGGTGCACTAAGAGACAAATAACACTGCGATACAGCTACTATCAACAGAGTTACACTGTTAGTGAAATACAGCAAGTCATGATCGTTTTTTGTTCATCTTACCATAGAACTGCCTTAACAGGGAACCCACAGGCATATTCCAAGACCAGAGCTTACTCCTGCCTACTCATGGCTGGTGGCAGCTCAGAGCAGTATATGCTTACTATACAGACGCTGCACCCATACGGACACATTGAGGACACTTACCACTCTAGTCGTAGTACAGAGGTGCATTAGTAGTGAGCAGCAGCAAGAACAAATATTTATGATGAGGAAAGGTGTTTTTGCAGCTCGTCATCTAAATCTGCAACAGCGCACCTGCCCTTACACATCCATACCTGAAAGCCCCTCTATTTCTAAACCACACTTCATGTTTAATAGTGTGACTACAGCTATTAGAGAAACTAGGCTGCAGTCTGCATCTCAGCATCTTGAGAGATAAAAGAATTAATCTCATCTTAGAGACACTGTCACATACCAGGACAGGTTTACGACATGTTAAAAAAATATTTTGCATTTCCTGTTTTTTGAGAATTAGCGAAGAGAAGCCCACAGCTCCGAACTGCAGCTTGTGGTAAGGCCCTGTGCTTGTTATGCTGAACACAGACTTACTGCCACAGGGACTCTGCGTTCACATTTCTACAAAACCTTTTCTTCTAAGGAATCCCAAGTGATGCTCAAGGTCACCCAACCAAGGTAATGACTAAGCACAGCCATATGGTGGATTACAACAGACAGCACAAGCAGTAGCCTGGAACAGGAAGGGAGGAAGGCTGCTAGAGCCAA